CTGTCTGCCGTCTGGGCTTTGGGGGTTTGCAATTGAAAGACGCTTTGCTTGTAGCCTTTATTAATTGCAACCTGCGTATTTCAAGAGTACCTTCCTCTTAGGACTAAATGTAAATAGGAGAGATCATGCTTAGAAAACACATTCATAACCAGCCTTACCTTGGGGCCCGTTAAGGCCACATTGCTCTTGTAGCCGTGTCACCTGGCTCTTTTCCACTCTCGCTGCCTAGTTCTTTGACAGCCTTGGTGAATTTCAAGGCGTATCTGCTATAACAGTGCTTTTTATGATTCCAGCATCACTGCTAATATTTCTCAGACTACTCGCTCTAAAATTAACAGCAGAAGGCTGTACCATTTGGCCTTGTGGGGGAAGAAAAAGTTTTCTTTGACTCTCTGAGCATCCCTAGCTGGGTCTGAAAGTTAAACCGATGAAGAGTACGGAGAGAAGCATACAGATTTTATTGGATTTTTACATGTACGTGGGAGCCGTTACAAGAGAATGAAGACCTGAGGATGTGACCTTTTAGGCAAACAATACATTTGTGAAGAATGGACAAGACAGAGGGGTTTGGGCTAGGGGTAGTAAATGGTGAAGAAGTAACGTGGAAGATAAGGGCTAGTGGAACAAGGTTTATTTGCAGGTTCCTTTGCTGCCGTCTCTGGTTTGATACAAAGGTCTCCAGTAAAAGGAGAATTTATTTCCTGCCTTTAGACAGAAAAGGGGGAGCTTTTTCTGCATTTACTACTTCTTAATTGTCTTCAGCACAAAATGATTTTATGTCAAAGAGGCATATTTTGGGGTGACATATTCTGATTTCCTTCAGCCTTCTTCATTTTATTTTACTATATCTAACTTCTATCCTAGAGTAATAGATTTTTGGAGCCCATTTCTCAGCCTTAGCATGAGTTCTATCTTTTTGTGAATGTGTGGATGATGTTGTTATAAGACATAAAACATTTTAAATTATAGTTAGCAGTAAATGTTAAAATAAGAGGATAATATCTACCAACATCAGATGGAGAAGTTCAAGTGCACGTAAAGAATAACATGGTTTGCACACTATTAAAAAAGTACAGGTGGTCTACTGACAAAGTTATACTCTGTTACAGTATAGCCTAGTGGAATCAGAGCCTACGGTTGACTTGATCCAGCACGTTTGAAATTATGTTTCTTGACAATTATTTCTTTTTTGTATTAGTACATACCAACCTAACTCATCCGTAGGCTCCCTTGTAATTTTACTAGTTCCCTGTTGATAGACATTTAATTATTTCCAGTTTTTGTTTGTTTTTTTACAAATAGTGCTTCAATTAGCTTGAATGTGTCTTTGCATAACGTGAAAGAACAGTTATAGGATAAATTATTAGAAGTGAATTTTGGAGCCAAAGGATGTGTGCATTTTAAATCTTGACAGATATTGTTAATTCAACAATGTCACATTTTTAAAAATCTAATGAAATATTTTATAGGTTTAGTTGACAAATTTTTGATAAGTGAATCCAATTACATAATTCGCCAATATTAAACTTGAAACTGTGCGGTGCTTGAATTCATATAGGTCTTTTTTTTATTGAGATATAATTGACATGTAACATTATGTTAATTTCAGGTGTACAATATAACGATTCAATATATGTATATATTGTGAAATGATCACCACAATAAATCTAGTTGACAAATTGTTTAATATGAAGAGATGTGCATTACTTAAAATTTTGCAAATAAACTGAAATCTGAGATTGTTACATCAAACTATTTCATGCATCAAACATTTGTGTATTTAAAATTCACGTACAATGAGAGCAGTTACACTGTAACAGGCAAGGAATATCAGAGACTGAGCAAACCTAAGTTCCATCCCAGGGCAGGTTGTACTAAATAAATGTCAAAGTTTGAATTGAGAAGAGAAGGGCTGTCTCTGAACCATTCCTGTCTTCTGCTCCCTCGATTTTTGGTAGCTAGTTTCTCTTTCCACATTGGCATCCCCAAACTGAGCCTTTCTGCTGATAGCTACTGTTAATTAATTTTATTTGTTGATCTATTATTCAAGTTCTTCTCCTTTTCCCCACTCACCTGATCCCGACCCTTCTAACTGCATTCTGATGCTTTGCATGAATTTAATTGGGGAGCTCCATGCACACAGGAAGCTTGCCGTAGAAGGATATTGACTCAAGAGAGCAATCTGTCAGTCAGCTCAGCAGCCAACCAACCAACCTACGCATGGTCTGCCAGCCTGAAAGTGAGACGTGCCCCTCGCCACACTTCTAAACTTATCTCCTCATCCCTGATTCTGGGCAGTAATACTGGCCCTGCCTAATTCACAAGTGGTTTTGAAAAGAAGTGGTTTCTTGGTCAGCTCAGGCTGCTGTAACAAGATACCGTAGACTGGGGGGCTTAAATAAGAGACATTTATTTCTCAGTTTTGGAGGCTGGGAAGTCCAAGATCAAGATGCCAGTAGATTTGGTTCCTGTTAAGAGCTCTTTTCCTGGCTTACAGATGTCCACCTTCTCACTGTGTCCTCAAGTGGGAGAGAGAGAGAGAGCCCTTGTCTCTCTTCCTCTTTTTGTAAGGGCACTAATCCCATCATGGGGGCCCCACTCTCATGACCTCACCTAACCCTAATTACCTCCCCAAAGCCCCACCTCCAAATACCATCACATTGTGGGGTAGGGCCTCAACATATGAATTTAGGGAGGGGGGACACAAATATTCAGTCCATAACAATAGCCTTTTGAAATCTATGCTTAAGGAGATTTTTGGAAAGGATAAAGTGACTTTCAAATTTACGATATCTTTATTAGTGTTGTTACACTTTTTTCACTGGCAGGTTTTTAAACTTTTCCCTGTGCCTTGGTTTCCAAGGAAACCAAATTCTTTCTGAGCAGTGTTCAGAGAAATAAAGCTCTGGTGCTACTGAGACTTCAGAAGTGAGATGTTAAATGTGTAGAGAATTGAGACTCTGTGACAATACATACTATAGCGATATCTCACACTTCAACTCTGAGGCCTCCATTCTTACTGCATCGGTGCCCTGTTGCAGTGCAAATATTATTATGCAATAGAATCTATTAATACTAATCTATTATAGATCACATAGCAGAAAAGAGGACTTTGAGACAATGGGAACCAGGAAAGATCAGTTTTGAGGGAGGCAGTGGATCTGGTAATGTGTAGGTCATGCAGCACAAAGGGTGGGAGGTGGAGATGGGGAAGGGGTGAGCCTTCTTGCCTGTGGTCCTCCAGCAGCCTGCAGAGCACAGGATGTGAGTAGCAGGCAGACCAGTGGTAAGAAAGCACGAGGACACTTGTAAGGGGTACCATCATTGGAAAGTGGGCCCATGGTAGAGGATGAGGACGAGGTGGAGGATGCTGTACTGGCAGCGGCACGGCTCCTATGGCACATCCTCAAGCTCTGCAAAGTTTCAGACATTGAAACTTGTTGGGGAAAGGTTCTGGAAAAACGAAGACTGGCAAGAACTTGGCGTCAGTTGCCAAGGGAGGGTATCTTGGGATTTTGGCTTACCTAGGGATGGATCATTCAGACAACATGGTCATCAAAATATAGTCTCTCCCCTGTTGTTTCCATTTCTTTTCATTCTTTGAATTGCTTTTTATTTCTCCTGAGCGTCTTTCCTTTCTTATCTAGACTGCTTGGTTTGCTTAGCAAACAAAACATTATCCAAGCACAATATCACTTGGAATGACTGGAGGTAATGGAAGAAACTCTAACACGTAGGCCTTTTATAGCTGCAGTTGTGTTTTCTTTATTAGTTTTTTTAAAAGGAGGTATCAGTGGATCAATTATTGCACATTAATTGCCATGACTGGCAGAAAACGAATCATGGCTTTGTGTATTGTGAATGTGAGTGTGTTACTGCTCAGCATATTTTACTATATCTATTAAAGCTGTAAAAGTTGTTTATGAAACTTTTATGCTTTTAACATTTCAAATAAATCTGTTTTTCATTTTACTTTTGGAAAATTTCCTTTTTATTAAAAAAAATAGTGTTAATATATCCCTTGAAACTAATTTCCAAGATGGCTTAATTATTTGAAAGAAGCACTGTTTTCCTTAGAGAAGTGTATACTCTAAGAACTTGACGGCTAAGGTGTTAGTTGAATTGTTTCTATTCAGGATTGTGTGTTTGTATTACATTATTAAAGTCAGAGCAGCATAAAATATCAAATTAAAACGGTCTACAGAGGTTGTCCACCAGGGCTTCTTGACCTTTGCCAACCTAGGCCCCCTTTTGATAAATACAAGAAAATGTTTAATGCAATCTGAAATTCAAAGCAAATTAAAATTAAATATTGTCACCAAAAACCAAAGCAGAGCCATGTAATAGAGTTTTTTTCTCTTTTTAGAAATCACATGTGTCTTTCAGGTTCTGAGGCCTTCGAGGGCATGCCTCTACCCTCTGTTGGAAATGGTTGACTAGATTAACCCCTTCATTTTACAGATAAAAAGACTGAGGTTCAAAGATTCAAGGAGTGCTCAAGTGCTCAGCATATTAGGAGCAGAATGTGCTCAAGAACCCAGACATCCTGTTGGCTGCTCAGTGCTTTGCCCACGACACCCCGTCCCCCAGGTTCTTTAAGGATATTCTCTCATGCAAAGGAGCCCTCCTATCCAGCATCATCTCCCTATGTCTGAGGATGCTGATATTCCAGAAGGTTATTCTGACTCTACATTGTCTCAGCAGGGTGGAGGCAGAGGTCAGGAGAGACTTCTCAGGTCTGGCTAGTCCATGGGTCCTGGTTTATTTATATTCTCTTTATTTCATTTCAGACATTTGTACCGCCATGACATAGAAACACTTTCCTGGTATAGCTTGTGGGGAATGTAGGGGGCAAGGGGGCAAACTCTAAATCTGAAAATGTATTAATGTTTGAAATACGATTTGAGTCTTTTATCATATTGAAAGCTCTTATTGATAGTTTTCCCTTAACAATTCAGCAGGTCCTCTCAAACATCTGATTTCTTCTTTTTCTTAAACAGTGTGTCCGGTGGCGAGCTGTTTGATCGGATAGTGGAGAAGGGATTTTACACAGAGAAAGATGCCAGCACTCTGATCCGCCAGGTCTTGGATGCTGTCTACTATCTCCATAGGATGGGCATTGTCCACAGGGACCTCAAGGTAAGACCATCACTTAGCAACATCCACTAGCTGCTCTCCCACCCACAATGAACCTGTCTAAGAGGATTGACTCTGGAAGAGGGATGAGCTTGCTTTGATGTACATATGGGTGGAGTGAATGATAGGCATTTGTATACTGTTAGTTGTCAGGATCTTTGGGACCCAGGAGTAGCTTGAAAGAAGATGAAGAGCAATGGGGCTGGCCATTCGTTGGGAGATTTTATACCCATTTTGCAGCCAAAGGGCCATGGGGAGGTAGGTTGTATATTACTTCGCACCATTCTAAAAGGTAGTTTTGTTCAAGACATATGGGCCATGAAGACTCTTCTCCCAATTCCAGCCCCCTTTCAGCACAACACACTGTGTGAAAGAAAAGGAGCCCATCTCTTGAGGGCATGAGATGACAGAGAAGGAAAGTAGGTTTTCAGAAAAGATAGGTTAAATACCTACCATTACAGTCTTCTCCCGATGTCCTGTAGGTTCCTTTCTTATCTTTTCTTTATGGGGTTTTGGCATAGTGACTCTTCACCCGAAGGCATTGAAGGATCTGGGCCTTATTTGGGTACCTTGGCATTACATTCCTCTCCAGGTATATGTAGATACCAAAGAGTAGACATCAAACATATGGTACCAAGGGTAGATATCGAGCATGTCAAGTTGAGGGACAGTAAAAAAGCAGCATTGTTGGCCCAAGGCTGTAACAGGGCTTCATTCTACAGCAGTTACAGGTCCAGCCTCCAGAACTCACTGCCTCAGTCAACACAGAAATTCCACCCCAGCACACAGACCTGCCATTCATATCAGAAAGACGGGGGTTATATTCTATGGAAGCTATGTTATACACCACTCTGGAAAATCTAAACCAATTTAAAGAATAAATCATAACCATTTGTTAACACAGAATTTCAGCATCTGCCCATTATCTGGTACTGGGTGTCAGGGTATAAAATGGTGTCACTTTTCCTTTCATAAGGACTCACTGTAAAGTTTCCTCTTCTTCTCTCCATGTTATCACCTTCCTCTGACTAGGGTAGCAGCTCCCAAATGTTAGCCTACATCAGAATTGTCTGGAGGGCTCGTAAAAACACAGGTTGCTGGGGGCCAGCCCTGTGGCTGAGTGGTTAAGTTCCCGTGCTCCGCTTTGGCGGCCCAGGGTTTCTCCTGTTCGGATCCTGGATGTGGACATGGCACCGCTCATCAACCCGTACTGAGGTGGCGTCCCACACAGCAGAGCTGGAGGGACCTACAGCTAGAATATACAACTATGTACCAGGGGCCTTTGGGGAGAAGAAGAAAAAGAAGATTGGCAACCGATGTTAGCTCAGGTGCCAATCTTTAAAAAAAAAAAAAAAAAGAGAAAGAAAAGAAAAATAATTATTAAAGAAAAAACCAACACAGATTGCTGGCCCCACCCCAGAGATTCTGATTCTGCAGATCTGCAGTGGGGGCCTGGGATGCTGCATTTCTAAGGGGATTATGCGTGATACTAATGTTGGCCTGAGGACCATTCATGGAGACCTGCGAGATGAGGGCATTTGGGAATGTTAATCGAGTCCTTACAACCTCTGCCCTTTGCAGGCTTCTTGATGTGAACATGATTAGCTGATCTTCAGGACCTGGAGGTCATCCACAGGGCTAGATAAGGGCTGATAAGCCCACCTGGCACCTCTGTGCCAGGCAGTGGTGCCTTCTCTGCTCTCTTGTGCCCTCACCAATGCCAATTCTGTGCTTCCAGAACACAGCAGGCAGCTCTCTCTGAACAAATTAGTGTGGCGCCTGTGGAGATAGGATGCGATGGGCTAGTTGTCTGTATTTAATGAAAGAATGTCTTAGCAGATAAGCCATTTCCTAGAAGGGCGACGTTTATTTCCCCCTGAAGAAGGCAGATTGCCTGGACGGAAGATGCTGTTTTTTACACCCACATAATGCTTTTCGAGCAGTACTTGCAGCTCCCAGCCTGCGGAGCTTTACGAGCAGCAGGCTTGTCGTTGTGGAAAGAACGCTGTCATTCTAGGAGCTTTTTGTAATCTCTTTTCAGAGGCACAGAGGAGTTCGATCCGTGTGGAGGCAGTTGGGGCTGGGATGTTATATTTTCACGACCATCTAAGGAAGTTTAAACCATATGATCTAGGCCAGAGGAATAGAAAAGATGACGGAGTTATTTAAGATTAGGGCACAATCTGGGATACTACCCCAGCCCCAGAGGCGAATATACCTCCGTCTTCCTCCAGAAAGGTATTCTTGTGTCTTCTTGCCCCAGGGAGCTACTAGAGACAAACAGTTGTCCTTTTTTTCGAAACAAGGGACTGAGACAGGACATGTCTGCTACTGCCTCCTGAGATGAGGATGCGGCTTCTCAGCCCCTGCACTCTTGACATTGGAGCTGGACCATTCTTGGTTGTGGGGGGCTGTGCTGTGCATTATAGAATGTTTTGCAGCATCCCTGGCCTCTACCCACTAGATACCAGTACCACTTCTCGGGTTGTGACAACCAAAAATGTCTCTGTGCATTGCCAAATGTTCCCTGGGGGGAGAATCACCAGATTAGGAGTTTGATTGTATATAACGTTAACTTTATGGGAATGTTGATTCAGATCTTTTGAAAGCTTATTATGTGAAGTATTAAAGGGTTGGGATTGATGTTCCAACTCAGGTATTGGCCACCAGTTGTCTTGCAAAGGTGCCATAAAGTGCAGAAAAATAATTTTCCAGGTGGTCCTCGGCCTCATAGGACCCCAGGCAGAATTGCAAGCTCCCCTCTGCCCCATGCTGGACTCTTACAACCCTCCTACTGCAACTGAGGGCCTCCATCCACACTATCCCTGTGCCTGTCTTCTCTCCCACCTTCTTGTCTGTTCTCTCTCCCCCCTCAAGAAAAGCCCTGCTGTCTTTACTAATCTTGAGACAATTAAAAGTATTGATCTAAGCTGTGAATGTCCAGTCAATTTAACCCTCCTTCGTAATCATCCTTCAAAAGAGCACTTTATTGACCCAAATGAGTCTCCTGTCGGAGGAATGTGTAAGGAGGGACATTTGGCTCTTTGGCAGTCTCTTGCCCGGATGCAGCCTTGATTAAGAGCATGAGATCACTGACTTTCCACTCTTTGCTTAGCTTTACAGCTGCCGAAGTACTGGGACAGGAAGACTAAGAATCAGAAATTAAAAAAAAAAACCCTCTCTGTACCCATGACCGATCCGTACTGTTCATCAAAAGATAATCGCTAAACCTTCAGAGAAATCATGAACCACACGTACTTTCTGATTATTTCCCCCCACTTTCCAAGCATTATTCTTATTTCAACTATTGATTGGCCCATTTTATTCCGTTTTAAAAGTCATTGAAAGCATCCTCAGGCATACATTTGATTTTCTTCTAATCTCTTGCTTTGTCCACAGAGTTGATGGCACTGTGAATGTTAAATGCCATTTCTTTTTATGTTATTATTTGGGGTGAATGGTAGTATTTTTTTTCCTTTGGCTTCTGTGGAAAAAAAAACATTATTCTGACACTTGTTAAAATGGCAAGGAAGACTTTACTCAATACTATTGCAAGAGGGGGATTGCAGTAGGGGAAAGATTTGGACTCAACTCCAAATTCAGCAAGGACACTTGGGGGTTTATGGCCATTGAGCAGAGTGCGGGTCATGGATGCAAAGTTCCTAAGGGGAGGCTCAAGGGGAGGGGGATTCTTATTAAAAGCTGGCCAAGGACTTCGACACTGACAGACTCTCTTCTTTGACGAAGTCCATTTGCTCTCCATCCTTAGTCTGTTGGCTCTGCCCACATAGTCCAGTCTTATCCAGAATCCCACAGAGTCACTTTAGTGAAAATCCCCCAGCCTTGATACCTGATCAGTTCCTTCTCCTCCTGCCTCCATATCTGACTGAGCTGCCTGCCTTCAGCAAAACTCCCTTCAAGTTGATGCAGCCAGAATCCCCCTTACCCTTGCTATGTCCTCTTAGTGTTTTCCATCTGTTGACCCCACCCTGCTCCTGGGCTGTAAATCTCCACTTGTGCCTGTTGGATTAGGAGCTGAGTCCTGTCTTTCTTCTGTCCTGCAAAACTGCCTTGCAGGGGTCCCCCTGAATGAAGTCTTCCTTACCAGCTGGAACAAGTGTCTGCATGATTTTTTTTTAACAGCATCAAAGGTTGAGGGGTGAAGAACTCAACCAAATATCAAGGGTGAGGGATCCTCTCTAAACTGACTTAGCAGGATTCCTGCTAAGACTGGGCCATGCAGTCCCCAAGGACAGGAGGGACACAGGAGGCCAAGGTTAAGGCCTAGTTGAGAGGAGGGCTCAGAGGAGCCTGAGTAAAGTTTGGTCCGGGAGGGAGTCTTGGTCAGATCTCAGAATTTCTTCACAGCAGTGGTTGTGCATCAGAATCCCCCTGTGGAGTTCTAAACTCCAGAGGCCTGGGCCCAACCTCAAATCTGCTGAAGAACAATATCCCCAGACATTCAGTACTCTCACAGGTGATTCTGTCGCACAGCTAGGCCGAGAACCACTTCTCTAAACAAGTCTAGTCACTCTACATAAGAATACTTCCTGAAATTCAATACTTAGGAACCAAAGATTCACCACAAACCACTGACAAGAGAGACTCTTGCTTCACGCTTGGGGTCAGCAGGAAAGCCAGACAGGAAATGGTGAGTTTCCCAGTTCAGATTCTTCCCTGTGTGTTTCCTTTAAGGTCAAGTGTAAATGGGAGACCCAATTACTTATTCTCTGGGTAAATCTTCAGAATTTTCCTGGTGGAGGGACATTCCTGGACAATAGCTGAGGTGTCAGTCCTTGACATTATCTCTCTCAGTGACAACATTCTTAATTGAAGAAACTTTTCAAAAACAAAAAAATGGGGGCCGGCCCCATGGCCGAGTGGTTAAGTTCGCGCGCTCCACTTAGGCGGCCCAGGGTTTCGCTGGTTCGGGTCCTGGATGCGGACGTGGCACCGCTAGTCAGGCCGTGCTGAGGTGGTGTCCCACATAGCAGAGCCAGAAGGACCTACAACTAGGATATACAACTATGTACAGGGGGCTTTGGGGAGAAGAAGAAGAAACAAAAAGAAGATTGGCAACAGATATTAGCACAGGTGCCAATCTTTAAAAAAAACAAAAAAATGCGGGCTACTCTCCTGTGGTCAGGTTCTACCCTGGCAGTGCAGGTACGAGCTCTGAAACTGTGATAGCTCTTTCAGCCTCCGTAAGTCCTGCCCTCATTTTTGCTGGAAACAAGAAGATTCTCTAATTTTCCGTAAAACGCTATGCAGATGAAGCTTCTTTGCCTCCTTGGTCTACCACAGGAGTGCCGCCCCTCAGCCCCTCCTACGTAGACCCCATGGAGGTGTCCCTCATGTGCAGAACTATTGCTGTTTGTCATGCGTTATTGCCACTTGAGCTCTGTCACATACCATTCAGGGGAGCAAATGAGAAACGATCACAACCCATATTTTACAGAAAGGCAGAGAATCTCAGAGTACTTAAGGACACGTGGCTGGAAAGTGCTGGATCTTCCTACTCCAATTCGTTCTGTGATGACATCCCTCTGCTTCCCAGGGAGTGGGAGCGAGCAGGTGTCAGCTGGCTCAGTACAGGAGGAAGTGCCACACATCCGCCAGAACCACAGGACCCGGAATGTGCCTGAGGGCAGGGAGAGAGACCCCTGGATTAGGGAAAGGCTGGAACAAGGGTCAGAACAAACAAAACAGACTAGCACCTGCGAAAGAAATTTTATTTCTGGGAATCCCCCTTCCCCTAACCCAAGAAATGAACTGACAAGCCTGAGAGGCATCAGCTTTCTAGGTGGTCTCAATATATGGTTAATTTTTGTAAGTAGAGAAAATACTAACAAGGGAAAGGGGACTAGCATTTATTGAAAACCTATAAGCGCCCCATACTATGCAGGGCCCTCTACATCGCTGTTCTCCAACACTGCTTTTCTTCATGCATTGACTGTGGCTAAAGGTCAAGTGTAATCTTAACCTGTAACTGGGTTCTGTGGTTTGGTGAGGCTCCTGCAATGAACTCAACTTTAAACACCGTTTGTAAATTTTTTTTTCTTGTTTTCTTTCTAGCCCGAAAATCTCTTGTACTACAGTCAAGATGAGGAGTCTAAAATAATGATCAGCGACTTTGGATTGTCAAAAATGGAGGGCAAGGGAGACGTAATGTCCACAGCCTGTGGAACCCCAGGCTATGTTGGTAAGCACAGTGTGAGAGTGTGTGTGTGTGTGTGTGTGTGTCCCCACGTGGCAACTTCATGAGTCCTGAGCATTTGAGCCTGGCGCATGATCACAGCTGCCTTCATTTCCCTCGAGGGAAGAATAAAAAGATTGAGCGACACTGGCACGAGTTAGAAGGGAAGTGATTTCCCCTGAAACCTTTTAATAGTTGGGTCGAAATCCTGTTTGATTTGGGTGTGGGCCTGACTGGAGGCCGAGAGTTGATTTAGATGAATTCCCACATTCTAATACCAGAAATATTACATGTATATTTATGTTTTCAAACGATTTACAGTGAGACACTGAGATAACAATCAGGTGCAGACTCAAATAAAACACTTAAAATGTTGAGATAGAAGCAGCCGGAAAGAAAATATTGATAGGAGGAATTTGGTTCAAACCTTGATGAAGTCAGTCTCTTGAATTAGCCAGTTCTGACCTGTACTGGAGAAGCCAAGAATTAAGGTTTTCCCTAAAATCGGAACCCCAGATCCTTTGTAGCAAACATACAGAATGCAGAAAAGGCTACAGATCTGAACACTGATACTGACATTCGTCCCCTGTCTTCTGGGGACGCGGAGAAAGGCCATTGGAACTGTTTGTAAAGTTTTTGCAACTTTCATTTACACAAATGTATTCATTCATTCAGCACACGCGTATTAAAGTGCCTACTGTGTGCCAGGTGCTATTCTAGGCATTGGGGTGAAGGTGTGAATGAGACACACTGGGTGCCTGTCCTCACGGAGCTTACATTTTATCGAAAGTGACAGACAGGAAACAAAGAACCAAATAAATGAACAGGATTATTCAGATCCTAAGAAGTGCTACGAAGAAAATAAAATGGGGGCATGCCATAGAGTGAAAAGGTGTGAGGAGGGTTAGGACAGTTAAGGAGACGGACATTTGCATAAATAACAAGAAGCACCCAGCCATGGGAGAGGTAGGGGACAGAGCGTTCCCGATGGAGGCATCAGTTTGTGCAAAGCCCTAAATGGGAAGAAGCCTGGGGAGAGGGCACAGGCTAGGAATGTCTGAGAGCAGGGCTAGAAATGAGGATGCAAAAGACTTCTGGAAAATGGAGGCTGAATTCTCATCATGCAAACCATGATGGCCTTTCTTAATAAGTAAGCCTGCCCTGAAAGAAAGGAGGGGGTGTTATAGGACCAACGTCATTCCTGTTTGGTTTTAGGTGCAACCACGTGACCTGCCCAGGCAGGCTGAGAAAAGCAGCCCTTAATCTAAACAAGCCAGGGGCCCAGAGCGTTGTGGGAAACTCCGGATGACCTTTGAGTCCCTTCGCAGCCTTCGAGTGCTTACATAATAATGGGTGTTATGTCACAGCTGTTTCCTTTCTCAGAGAACTCAAAGGAGAGGAGAAAAGAGCGGTCTGAGGGGCACGGAGAATAACATGAGGGGAAGGGAAGAGGAAGCAACAGAGATTCAGAAGGAGGAGATAATGATGGTGGAAATGTGGCAGAGCAAGAGAAGGAGTGGTCAGTGTTGCTTAGCTCCTAACTGTCACAGATGGGCACTGTGTCCCTGGATTATGTGTATGTACTAGACGGGAAAGGAGAGATTATTCTGCTCATGTTTAAGAGGCCAGCACAGGCCCCGATGGAGATTAATGGCACAGGAATCAGTCTCTGTTCTAGGACTGTAAAGCGATGCTTGCGAGAACAGCCCGGACCCCAGTGGGGGACTAGGAGTTAGGCTGTAGTGTGAGATCCACGTGTAAACGCATGTGTGTGCCCGAGAGGTGGGGGTGGTGGGTGGAAATGTGAGCGTGTGCGGTGTGTGTGTGGAATTTCTCCACTTCAGTCCAAGCCATCAGGCATGTGGCGAATAAAAATGAATGAGACAAGCTTATTCTCATTTCTCTTAAAAGATGGGGAGGAAATAAGCCGGTTCCAACCATGGTGAATCATAGACCTTAGAAAATGAAGAGGCCTGTGAGGTCATGGTGTCCAGTCTCCTCGCCAGCATGGCCTCCCTCTCTTCAGCAGGCTGCTGCCCGGGCCACTCCGGGCTGAGAAGCTGCCCAGGCTGCTGTGGCCTGCCCAGCTTCCCACCTCAGGAAGTCGGCTCTTGGGCTACAATTTACTGTTCTGACAAAGAATGTCCAGATTTACATATGCATCACACTGTTCTCATATTTGGCTCCGATGTTGGAAAGTTCTAGCACTTTCTAAATTGATTTTTGTTTCTTTGCGTCTTGGCAGAGCCCATGGAATGGCAGTTTCTCTGGGTTTCTGAGTGGCTGCTGTCCGAGTGGTCTGGCTCTGTTTCGAGGTCAGATGCGGATGAGTCTGGGAAGTGGGAAGGATGTTTAGTGGGGCCCTTGCTCCCACTACCTAAATGGCAGCAAGTTGGAGCTATTGGGTGATTGTGTTGTCAGACTCTGAGAATATAGAAATTCTGTTTGTTCATATTTATTGAGCACCGAGACTCCTGGGAGACCTTTTAGAGCAAGGAAGGGGCCACGCTTGGGAGCTCATGTCCACTTAGACATACCTCGGGCAGTGAGCAGCCGATCTTGGGCTGTTCCCTCCACTACATTCCGCATGGTAAGCTCCTATTCAGCCATCAAAGCCCAGCTTACATGTTATCCCATTTGCCTGTGTTCCCAACACCCATCCTCTCTTTTGCCATCCTAGTTCTCTTGACCCTTTTCTCGTCATGGCTCTGATCACATTGCATCAGGGTCCGTATTTATCTGTGTATCTCCCCCATTCCACTGTGGATTTTTCTAGGGCGGGGATTGCCTTATTCATCTTTGCACAGATGCTTATTAAATGTCATGAAAACCCAAGCTTCATGAAAATTAGCAGTTTTCCTTTCTCTCCTCTCTGTCCATTCATTCAGTGTGCATTTACTGAATTCCTGTTATGTGCCATGCACAGTGGTTTGGTGTTAGCCTTACAGGTATGAATAAGACAGAGTCTCTGACCTCAAAATGTTCACAGTATTGAGACAGACAGAGGGCAAACAGGTGAATTAAATAATTCACGGTAAGTGCTGCATTATTCCTCCATCAAGGATTATGTATTTAGTGCCTACCTTCTGTTCTAGGCACGGGGGATGCCTCAGTAGAAAGAAAAAAACAGATAAAACCCCCCACCCTTTGGTACTTATATTTGGGTGGGAGAGAGACAGACTATAAGCAAACAGCTAAGTATATTAATTAGTATCTTAAATGGCAATACATACTATGGAGAAAAATAAAGCAGGAAAGAGAATAGGAAGGGTATGTGTAGGAAGGGATTGCAATTTTAAATGTAGTGATCAGGGCAGCCCTCACTAAGAAGGTGACAGTGTGGTAAAGCTTTGACAGAAGTGAAGGAGCTGGCCATGCTGTTATTCGGAGGCAAAGGGGGTGCAAAGGCCCTGAGGCAGGAGTGTGTGGGGAAGGGAGCAACAGGAGTGAGGAGAGCAGTGGAAGACAATGTCAGAGAAGTAAGGAGCAGGGTGTGTGCAGACCAGGACTTAGAAGTCATTGTTAAGACTGTGGCTTCAGCTGAAGGTGGCAGGAAGCCATTGGAGGGTTCTGAGGTGAGGCATGGTGTGATCTGACTTTTACCAGACCAGTTGGCATTATCCAAGTGAGAAATGGCAGGGGCTGCACCAGGTTGGCAGAGTGGAAATGGTAAGAAGCTGTCAGATTCCAGATATAATTTGAAGGTAGTGTCATCAATATTTTCTAAAGAATTGAAAGAGAAATTGGAGACAATTCCAAGGTTTTTTGGCCTGAGCACCTGGAAGGGTGCGGTTGCCTTTAAACAGGTTGTGAAAGCCTGTGGGACGAGCAAGTGGCAGAAACATTACCAGAGTTCGGGTCTTGAGTTGTTAAAGTTTGCCAGGTCAAGGAGGCGGTTGGAGTATGCGTCTGGAGTTCTGGAGAGAGATCTCGTCTGGAAATGCATAGTCGATTCTCGTTAATCCACCGTAGTCATGTTCTATAAGGTCTCTGGGAACCCTGAACTAGTGAATGCTGAACTAGTGAATGCTGAACCACTGCTCCCAGGAGAGACACAGGGTTGGGTTCCTATGAGCCTCCGTTCACAGCATTTTCATCAACCGATCTACACATAACCTTGTTTTATGTGTACTTCTGTTCAAAGACACCTTATTTAATGTTATTGTCAGTTCATTAACATGGAGCCCATGGCCAACAGCACTGTAGCTCATGCCTAAGTGAAGTGTATCCAGAATACACATCTCCATAAGGCACATCCCAGCCTTCTCGTGCCTAGGAACACTAGACGGCACTTCAGCACTACACTTGGAGGCCGTTTTTGACGGTGAAATCAGCAAACCCACAAAAACATGAAAAACGTGGCCCTAACTAGACCATGAAAATGATACTTGTTGACAGTGTGAGAGATGAAACAAGAGAGCAGAGCATCGCCTTGTTTGACTTCAGCTGGGAGCGTGTGCTTCAGGTGACTCAAAGTTTCCGCCTCTCTGCACATGTCCACAAATGACCACAAAAGCATCACCAGCATTGATTGGGGGCTACGAACAGATTTCAGCGAGCAGACAAATTCGCAAATACGGAATCCACAAGCAATGAGGATGGACTGTATTTGAGAGCTGTTAGCCTCTGGATGCATTTTAAAGCCATGAACCTGGATGAGATCACCAGAGGGGTGGGTGTAGACGTGGGAGAGGAAAGATGCCAGGGCTGAGTCCTGGGGACGGACGTGGGGAGACGAGGAGGCAGCAGCAGAGGAGACTGAGAGGGGCAGCAGGTGGAATGGGAAGAGAACCAGGGGAGTGTGGGGTCTGGAAAGTGCTTCAAGGAGGCGAAAGCATCCTGTGTCAGTGGCTGCTGCAAAGTCAAGTGAGATGAAGACTGAGCGAATGTTGACTGTTGGTTTTGGGGACCTTGAATTATGAACTAATTGAACAATTAGTTGATTAAGTCTATGGGAGCTTGGCAGTCGGGAAGAAGGTGAAACACGTCTTTATAAGAGGCCCCTA